CTGCATTCCTGCAGAAGAACCTTATCCCAGCTGTGAAACATGGTGGTGGTAGTATCATGGTTTGGGCCTGTTTTGCTGCATCTGGACCAGGACGGCTTGAAATCATTGATGGAACAATGAATTCTGAATTATATCAGAGAATTCTGAAGGAACATGTCAGAACATCTGTCCATGAACTGAATCTGAAGAGAAGGTGGGTCATGCAGCGAGACAATGATCCTCAGCACACGAGTGGTTCTACCAAAGAATGGTTCACATACTTTTACCATCACAAATATGTAATATTGGATCCTTTTACTCAATAAATAAATGACCAAGTATATTTTTGTCTCATTTGTTTAACTGGGTTCTCTTGATCTACTTTTAGGACTTGTGTGAAAATCTGATGATGTTTTAGATCATATTTATACAGAAATATAGAAAATTATAAAGAGTTCACAGACTTTCAAGCACCACTGTATAGATGGACATTCTTCACAATCTCCTGCAGAAGTGTGAGATCTCGTGACAGTTCAGAGGAAGTGTTGAGGATGACTCAGCTCCCACCACACCAAACGTATCAGTGAAACTGAGCTGCAGCTGTTTTAGTTGGCTGAAGTCAACCTGTGATACCAAAAGTTAATCAGTCGTAGCAGCTGGAGACACAGTGTAGTCGTTTTTAAAGCATGCTGCTGTGTGGACTGTGGGCTGTTACCTGGAAGTTCCCAGTTATAGACAGTCCAAGACAAGAAACGAAAGCCAGCCAAAAACCAACAACATTGGCCTTTCCTTTGTAGCCGAAGTCTGCGGCTTGCTTAAATCTGATCAGCGCAATGACGACGACTGCAAGAGACAGACAGGAAGGAAGAAAAGGGCTGGAGAGACGCTTGGCACTTCTATTTTCACAAATCTCTTCAACCAGATATACGAGACAGAATGTTAGCCAATGTAAATTATCATTTAAATCAACATTTTTATGATTTCAAAGCCCTAGAGCAGTGGTTCTCAAACTGTGGGGTGTGTCCCAGTCTGCTGGAGGTCACCGTTAAACTGTTCTATTTTGTTTTTCCAGGCTAGAATATAAAGCAGAGGGAGATGTTTCACCTCGTTGCGCGCTAAACTTATTTCATTGACACAAAAAACAATAAAACCATCTATAACCGTATGTATTTTTGTTGTCGTCGCCAGAGTGTACGTTCAGAGATGGAGAGTGTCACTTGGGCGGAAGAGGTGTTTCTAAACCAAACATGTCTGCTGTTGTGGTAGATAAATCCCTTACAAATCTGTTTTCATCTTCTATGGTGTACCTGTAGTCGAGTCGTGGAGGCAACAAATCCAACATCCCTCTCCTGGTGGCATTTTCCAGATCTGCTTGAGAGACCCCCAAGGCGTTCCCAGGCCAGAGAAGATGCACAATCCCTCCAATGAGTTCTGGGCCTCCTTCCAGTGAGAGGTGCCCAGAAAACCTCTGAAGAGAGGCATCCAGGAGGATCCTAATCAGATCCCTGAACCACCTCAACTGACTCCTTCTTGATGAGGAGGAGCAGCGGCTCTGCTCTGAGTTGCCTCCGGATGATGGAGCTCCTCCCCCATCTCTAAGGCTGAACCCGGCCACCTTACGTAGGAAGTCCATATCGGCCACTTGTATCTGGGATCTGGTTCTTTCAATCGTGATCCAAATCTCATGGGCACAGGAGAAGGTTGGAATGTAGACAGACCAGTAAATCGAGAGCTTTGCCTTTCAACTCGTCTTTCTTCACCACAACCGTCCAAAGCAACGCCATCATTACTGAGAACAAAGCCCAGATCCGTCAGTCCATCTCCTGCTCCATCCTACCATCCTTCATGACCAAGACGTCCAGATAGTTAAACTTCTCCACCTGAGGTAAAGACTCCCACCCTTTCTAAAACCTGAACCAGAACATATATGACGAGGCGTACCTTAGCGTTGGCACAGTTGCATATCCTTTGATAAATGGGCTTTTACTTGAATACTTGACCCGTTGTTACTATTTGGTGCTGGGCCTCCAGGTGCGTGGGGGCAAGGACCGTTTTCCTTCTTTAGACGGGAACCCGACAGAAAAAGTTTAAGAACCACTGCTCTAAAATGTTGACTTTGTAAGGATTAAATGATGTAATGTAAAATAATTTAGATTTTCTTGTGTTAATAAAAAACAACAACATGAGATCCATACATAAAATGGAGAGGATGTTACAGGTCTGGGCGAAGATGCAGCTCTGAGGTGGGTAACCTGCGCTGTCGCTACGAACAGAACGACAACCTGGAGTCAGACTTCAGCACTCGTTTCAAAAAGAGCAGATCCAAACGTTTCTTTGTGTCACTCCATTTAGAGCAAGTCAGGATGTAGAGTAAACTCACAATATTCATTCACAATAAAACATGGTAAACATATCAAACATTTTAAACATTTGAACATTTGCCATACTGTACACTATACTGATACTTTTTAAGGCTTTGGGGTCGTTTTATAACTACTGTATTTTAATCTGTCGTCATTTTGAACAGTGAGGATTTTAACCCACCTGATGTACGGCATTCCTTTGGTTAGGTTGACCGATCCGTTTACCACAGAGACGGCAAACCTGAGGGGTAGAAAACGGCACAGCTGAGACTTGTAGTTTGTTACGACTGTCCTCCAGCTCGCAAACACAAACCACTCTGCTGCGGTGTGAGGCCACGTTTGTTTCACACAGGAAGAAAACTATTTAATTTGGTAAGGAGTTTTAAAAAATACACAAACAGCTAGAGAAATTGCATTTCCTGCACAAATGCAGTGTGGATGCTTATTGCAGAAGAACTTGCTGAAAAACAGCTGAAATCAGCTAAAAAATGCTGAAACGTAGCTGAAAATGTAGAACAAGTGTAAATCAGCAAGAGAAAGCAAAAAGAACACAGAAGTTGAAATGAGTGCAAAAAATGTGGAATTAGCTGAAAAAGCTAATATTAGCATGAAACAGCTAAATAATAGCTGAAATAACTGAAACTAGCAGAAATAATCTGAAAGGAGCATAACAAGTTGAAATTAGTAGAATTAATTCAATTAGGTTGAAAGTGGCAGAAATTACCATGAAAAACTTGAATTTATCTGATAACAGCTGAAATTAGCTAAAATATGCCAAAAAGCTAGCTTAAAAAGTAGAGCAAGCTTAAATTAGCAGAAGGAAGCAGAAAGAACACATTTGCTCAATTAGGCTGAAAAATATCAGAAATGCGCACAAAAAAGTAGAAATTACTTGAAAAAAAGCTGAAATTTGCATAAAACAGTTGAAAAGTAGCTAAAAACCTGAAATAAGCTGAAATTGCCAGAAGGAAGTGGAGAGCACATTTCTTTTGTTTAATTAGGCTGAAAAAAGTTGAATTGAGTGCAAAAAATGTGGAATTGGCCGAAAAAGCTAAAATTAAAATAAAACAGCTAAATAAGGAGCTGAAATAGTAGAAAAAGCTGAAACTTGCAGAAATAAGCTGAAAGGAGCATAAAAAGTTGAAATTAGCAGAAATAAGTTAGAAGAAGCACAAAAATGTGGTAGTTAGCAGAAAGAATCTGAAAGGAGCACAAAACAGCTAAAAAAAAACCGGCTAAAAAATGGCTAAAAAAACAGCCAAAAGTAGCTAAAAAAAGTTTACATTTGCACAAGGAAGTTGAAAGAATCTGAAGCAGAACAAAATGTGAAAGGAGCAGTAAAAGTTTGTAAACAGATTTAAAGATTTGAGGGATGTAAAATGAGCTCATTTCATTTCCGATGAGGACAAAAGTGGCAGAAAAGGCTAAATATTTCAAAAAGCTAAAGCTAGACCAATACCAAACGTCATTGGAACAAGATGCCAAAAAATGTACGGAAGAAAAGTGAATCACAATAGAGTGAATGCTTCATTAACACTCACACTATTAAAAATAGCTCAGATCTTATAAAGTGGGATTCTGCTGAGCAGTTATTTACAATTATTGTCTTACCTGTTGTACATAGCATTTTGAATTACCTCAATTTGGAGAAATAGAGTTTATTAAACGGGTTGACAAGTTAATGGCTAGTCACAGTGAGATTACTTGCATCTGACAACTCCAATCTTAACAAAAGTCAGTGATACACGTGAAAGCTATTTTATAAACTTTTAAATCTCTGTTAATTTCACATTATACATTATTACTGGATAGGGTTTTATAATATACTGTACATTATACATGGATTTTCTACCTCATTGAACCATCATGTTCACATTGTACAGTTGTTCTGGGGCAACACAGTCATGCTACAGCTAGCTGTTGCCGCTGCTGCTAGAAGAAAATAACCATAAAATCCTCCGTGAATAAACGTGTAACGAGGAACTGACCAAAATGTAAAGGTTTTTAAATTTGTGTTAATATGAAATTATGAAATGTTTGAGATTGGACTTGTTTTATCGGAGGCAGTTCGCTAAGGTCGTAACGTTTCTCGGACTAGCCATTAGCTTGTCCTTAGTTAGAAAACTCTTGTTACACTAAATTGTTTGTTTTTTAAACTAAAGCATCCTGCTTGAAATGACACAAACTACCGCTCTTTATTACATTTTGAACATGAAATTTGATCTGACACATTTGATTTTATGAAGAATTTCCCTCATTTGCAAAAAACAAATCACTGTAATGCCACTTTGATTGTTGATGTGTGCTGCTGATCATTTCATGCTGCTGATCATTTCATGCTGCTGTGTTCATTCGTACTCGTCCGCTTACACAGACTCATGTTCGTGCTGCTGTTGTTTGGTGTATTATTTAGTGTTTAGCATATTTCTTAGTTTATATCTTAGATCCTTATTTACTGTTTATTTTTACACTTTATATTTTGCTGTTGTTGGATGTAACTGGGACTCTATGTACACAATTTCATTCTACCTCACGTACCACGTGATGCGGACGACAATAAAGAACTTTGAAATGTCCATAAATATAGCTGCACAGTACATTCTCATAAACCCACAAATTCCAATTTTTTAATCATCCTTAATACTAACAGGTGGAAACATTCTTTTCAAATGATGCATGATTTCATGCAATATCTCCAGCGCCTCAGATTTTAGCTCATTGTCTGAAATTGATGAAGTCGTACTTTTTGTGTCTTTTAAGGCCGATTAGCTGGAGGCATCATGTATTTGATTAAATCCAAATCTTAAACATTTCTAGAGATATACAGAATAATAATTGTATGATTGTTTTAATTTGGTAGCATGCAGAAATGAGAACAATTCTGCACCGATAAACTTTGATTTAAAAAAAAAAGGCCCTGTAATGGCACTAACCGCTTGTTCACTCCACGATGATCTGTTCTAGTTCCTGTCACTTCGTGTTACCTTTTTTCTGTCAACACAAAACTGTTGCAAGCAAACACAACACTCACACTGCCCAGAAGCCGCCTATTCCAAAGAGAGCCGTGAGAATGGGAAGTAACACAAACACCCACATCATGATGGTTCCTATGAAGAGAAACAAAACGATGAAACAGAAGACGTGCAAGTCCCAAATGGAGAGTAAAGACGTGACTACTCACTGTGCTGATGAGGAACGGCTGCAGGCAGACGGATCTCTCTCTTAAAACACATCAGGGTTGTATTAAATATGTCCTCTGCGTTATCATATCACAAGTACAAGACATGCACCATATCACGTTGTCCTGATTCACACACGGGGATGAAACTCTTCGTGAGATCACGGTGGTTGTTTTTACTATAGCCGGTTATCAAAGGCTGAAAATAAACATCATAATAATGATGACAGGGAGAAGTGCATGAAGTTTTTAAAAGTTACAACAAAACACGTATGGCTCGGTCAGATTAACTTGTCTTTAAATGAGTGGCTTAAATTTATAATCTGCACTTTTTGTTCTTGTATTTCTTCATTTTTATCCGTTTGTCTGAAAAACTGTCCGAACTGTCCCTTTAAACACACCTTGTCTGTAAATGACAGGAATGAATCATCAGTGTTGATTAAGCACTAATCCAATGTTTTGAGTAGCATTTTGTTTAATACGACAAACTCTCTTCAGGGACAGACATGAGAACATGAAAGCCAACTGGTTTACAGTTGTGATGTTGTTACACAGTCAAAGTCAAAGTCAAAGATTAACAGCAATATTTTGTTTTATTTAACCTTTCATAAGAAAAAAATTGTTATTTTGATTTTTCAGTCAGATTTTCACCATGTTATTTATAAATGTCATAGTTCCCAACTAAATATTTAGTTTACAGACTAAATACTTAACTTGCAAGTTAAATATTTGGTTTGCAAGCTAAATATTTGGTTTGCAAGCTAAATATTTAGTTTACAAACTAAATATTTATGTCCTGCATAATGTTTAATGTACAAGCTAAATGTTTAACTTGCAAGTTAAATATTGAGTTTGTTAACTAATTATTAACTAGTTAGTGAACTAAATATTTAGGTGTAAATTAAATATTTAATTTCCAAGTTAAATATTTATTTTCAAAACTAAACATTTAATTTCCAAAGTAAATATTTATTTTCCTAACTAAATATTTAACTTACAAGTTACATATTTAGGTCCAAGCTAAATATTTATTTTGCAAATTAAATATTTATTTTGGAAATTAAATGTTTAGCTTAGAAATTAAATGTTTTTGGAAAATAAATATTTAGTTTTTAAAATAAATGTTTTAATTTACACCTAAATATTTAGTTCACTAACTAATTAAACATTTAGCTTGGACATAAACATTTAGTTTGTAAACTAAATATTTAGTCTGGATCTAAATATTTAGCTTGCTAAGTTTGTAAACTAAATATTTAATTTGTAAAATATTTAGTTTGGAACTATGACATTTATAAATGTATGAATAACATGGTGAAAATATGACTTTGACAAAACAAACTAATTTTTTTCATATGAAAGATTAAATAAACCAAAATATTCCTGTTAATTTTTGACTGTGTAACTTTACAAACGGCACACCATAAAAAACTAAGGGTTTCAAAGGTTTGCACATGGTTGTGGAGCGGTTTTGACCCACTTCTTTACAATGTACCTACAGTTCATTGATATTTTCAGACGTTTTATGCACAACTCCTGTAAGGTCCTACAACTTTTCAGTCAAACTGAGGTTTGGACCCAACAAAGTTAATCAGGTCCTCTGGACGGTTTCTTCGTGTTGACACGTGGTTTTTCTACCTGGATTACTGAGCATGAATCAGGATATGAGGCTTGGACCATTGTAACGTCTTGATTCTCTTTATCAGACATTGTCGTAGATTCCGTGCAGTGTTTGGGACCATCCGGTTGCACGTTGACCTAATTTGGGCCAGCGATATGGTCTCAACTCTAGGATCCCTTGGTAAACCGCAGAGGTTGTGGTCGACTCAAGGTGCCCAGATCTTTTCTCTGCAGAACAAGCCCAGATCATCACTCTGACACCACTGTGCTTAAGGTAAGAAGTGTTTGTGCTGATGTGCTGGCTTTGGGTTTCACCAAACATCAGAGGTCTACCCATGATGCACAGCACTGCAGCAGTGCAACATGGGTATATGTCTCTACTTTGGTTTTATCTGCCCAAAGGACAATGATCCAGAAGTTTTGTGGTTCATTCAGATGAAACTGAAGTTGTCATGTTCTATAAAGAAAGACCTCCTGCAGGCGATCCTTCCAGATAAGAAGCGCTCGTTCAGTCTTTTTCTACGCTGTGATGAACTTTAACCTACTTATTTAGGCCCGCAGAGTCCAAGCTGGGAGCTCTTAGTTCTTGTTTTCATTTCTCTGAACACTGCAAGGTCTGATCCCGGGTAAAAACAGCTAAACCCTCACAATTTAGAAAACGTTTTCCATTTGTGAATCTCATTTCCTCACAATAAAGTAGATTAATTTGTTTTGAAATGACCTTTAACCCTTCCAATATTGATGGGCAGCAACAGCTGCTTCCCTATAGCCATTGCTGATGTCTTTCCTACTTGGCTTTGTGGGTATTTGTGAGGTATTTGTGAGATTTTCTTTTCTTAACACACAGCTCTTCAATTTAGGCTTCCTTTTTGCTTAATAAATAATGACATGGTGGAATCTGTTAGTGGAACCTTAAAATAGAAAAAGGTGGACTGTCTTTGTAGAATAAGTTAAAAAATAATAAATGAAGATATATTTAAACATCAACTGTAGTATTCATTTCTGACTTTTTTCCTTTTAAAACACAAAATGAAGTTTTTTTTCAGGGACTCAAATGCAGAAAGCATAATTCAAAACCCACATCCATTCAACAACCGTCTTTATTGTTGAGGTAAAAATCAGTAGTCATGGTGCACAAACACCACGATGGACTGTTTTTCTCCGGACAGTAACAGAATGTAAAGGTAGGCACGTGTGTTACAGCTCCAGTTCAATCTTGACGTCCATCTTGGTCTTGTACGGTTCCAGCAGGGGGCGCACTTCTTCAGACAGAAACCTGGCAACCTGAAGGAAAGGACAGGAGGAACAACAGAAAAAAGATCTAGTAACATATTTACCCAAAAGTAGCTTAAGAAAAGCAGCTAAACATGGACTGATAACGATCAACCTGCTGTGGCGCTCGGCCAATAAACGTCTTGGGGTCCAACAGGGCCTCCAGTTGCCCCAGAATGGGTGTGAAGTAGGGGTCTCGCTGCACTCTGGCCAGCAGGTCGTTGTCCCCACCTTCCTGTTTAACTACAGCCGCTGCCTCCTGGGACAGGACACGGATCTTCTCATGACAGTCCTGAATATAAAAAGAAAACAGAAAAAATTTAAACAAACACGTTCAGCTTTGTGGTTGTGTTTAGAGATAACGGGTCCAAAACCCAGACACTCATTTCACAAGAGAACATACTGGTCTAATCCCTCCAGTTGAGTTCTGGGTCAGCATCTGGGTCTCCCACTAGTGGGACGTGCCTGGAAAACCTCTACAGAGGGACCACTCGTATCTGAGACCTTGTTATTTTGCTCGTGATCCTAACCCTAAGACCTGAAGCTTGTAATGTAGATGCACACGTAAACAGAGCTTTGCCTTTCAAATCCGATTCTTTTTCACCTCAACAGACTGGAGCAGCGCCATCATTACAGAAGATGAAGCTCTGATTCATCTCCTGCTCCATCCTGCCACTCGGGAAGACTCGCATCTCAAAAAATTGACAGTGTTATCGTATAATTAATCATCGACCTAATAATCTACGGTGAGTGACATTTGTAGTTCATGTCATCTGTGCATGAGTTTCCATTATCTGTAAGCCATAATCATCTAAATTACAAGAAACAAAGACTTGAAATATTTCACTCTGTCTAATGAATCTATGAGTTTTACTTTCGGCAATGACTGACAAAAAATAAAACAACTTTTTCACAATACTCTCATTTTCTTAGATGATGCACCTGCACTTGGACCCCTCTGCTTGAGGCAGAGACTCTCCCTCAGACCAACCAACCACACTCAGCTCATGGTTTTGTTATACCAAGTCTAAATGTCTAAAAATGATGCAGAAAAACGGGTCTGTGCATTTGTCACATCTAGACTGGACTATTGTAATGGTTTATTATCTGGGTGTCCAAATACTTCTTTAAAACATCTTCAGTTGATCCAAAATGCTGCTGCCAGAGTCTTAACTGGAGTTAGTGGGAGAGATCACATCTCTCCAGTTTTAGCTTCTCTCCATTGGCTCCCTGTCAAATCCAGAATTGAATTCAAAATCTTACTTTTAACCTACAAAGCTCTCAACAACCTAGCTCCATCTTATATTACAGATCTTATTGTTCCACATTTTCCCAACAGAGCACTTCGCTCTCAAACTGCAGGCTTACTCGTGGTTCCTAGAGTTTCCAAAGGGAGAAAGATCTTTCAGTTATCAGGCTCATCTCTTGTGGAACCAACTCCCAGTTTCTGTCCGTGAGGCTGACACATTGTCCAGTTTTAAGACTGGGATTAAGACTTCCCTTTTTGATAAATCCTATAGTTAGGGTTGGCTTGTTATGCTGCTATAGGCTTAGATTTTAAAATAAATTGTTACAACTGCATACACATGAATAGTTTTCATTTGATACTACAGTAGTCCCTCGTTCGTTTTTCGCGGACTCGCTCTATCGCGGTTTTTCAAAATAAGATTGGACATGACACAAAATTGGCTGATTGATGGATGAGCCGCACGATCGGCGTGGAATTTATATTTAAAATAAATTATTTTAAATTATTTAGCATTAATATTTAGAATATTGCAAGAGTGTGGGAAGGGTTTACAACACCATATATATATATATATATATAATATATATATATTTTTTTTTTTATTTTTTTTTTTAGAAAAAGTTTTAGAGAAGCCTTCTACAGATTTACAAAATCTAGATGGACCAAACAGCTAATCTCCCATGATCCCCCCTAAGACCTTTGCCTAATTGTTTCATAAACAACAAATGCTTTAAGATCAACTAAGTAGTGTCCAACATATTTTACTCTCCCCTACCTGTCTGTTGCCTCCAGCCTTTACCATCGCCATAATGATGTTCTCTGTGGCCATGAAGGGGAGCTCATGGCGGATGTGTCTCTCAATAACCTTTGGGTAGACCACCAGACCCTCTGTGATGTTCTGCAGGGTGCTGAGGATGATGTCTGCTGTCAGGAAAGACTCCGGGAGGGAAATCCTTCTGTATACAAGGAAACAGATTAAGAAAAGGATGAGGAAAAAAATCTAATCTGCACAATCAGATTCAACAAGTAGAAACTTCTGCAGAATTCATTTCAATTAAGTCTTAATACTAGAAGGCAGCATGAATTGAAGCTGAGTGAACTGTCTGACCTGTTGGCGCTGTCGTCCAGCGTCCTCTCCAACCACTGGACTGAAGCAGTCTGCAGCGGGTCGGACATCAGCGCCACCAGATGTCGGGCCAAGCTGCAGCAACGCTCTGAGCGCATGGGGTTCCTCTTGTAGGGCATAGCACTAGAACCTAGCAGAGAGACGAGGACAGCGTCATGGAAAGGCACAAAATGTTCTCTTACAGTAAATCACACATTTTTGAATTTTCCAGCACGTCCAGCTGTCTGATCTTGAAACATACCAATCTGCTCTTTCTCAAAAGGCTCCTCTATTTCCTTCAGGTTGGCCAGCAGACGGATGTCTGTACAGATCTAAAGAAAGATTAAAGATGAGCATCGACATGTTAATTCTTGTAAAAACGTGCACCAAACTTGAATAGTACAGCACTAGAAGAGGACAATTTGTACCTCTGCAGCTTACCTTGTGAACAGTCGCTCCTAGACTGGCTAGACTGGACAGAGAGTCGATGTCCACCTTACGGCTGTACGTCTGCCCCGTCACCAGGTAGGCTCTGAGTAAGATTAGAGGAATAATAACAGAAGGATTTTCAGATCTAAAGCCAACAGACTTTGTGACACAACCTTTTTGGACCAGGTGCTGATGTCGCAACTCGTTCCTCTTGTGATAACTGGTTTTGTTTTTCCAGTTGTTTCGTTTAAGTTTGTTCATTATGTCTCTTCAACAGGTCCTGGTCATTGTTTTTCATGTGGGTTGCTCAATAATCTGAATACCAGTTAGCATGTAATAGATTTGTTGTATGTTTTAATGTAGGGATGAACGATATTGGATTTTTGGCTGATATCCAATATGCTAAAACTTATTTGGTCGATAACCGATACCAATACCGATATTTTTCCTCCTACACCTACTTACAGAGACTACATAGCTTTCTCTGCTGTGGAATTAAAATCCTACATTATTCTGCATGCTCTTTGTCAATTTGGCCTGCTACCAAATGTAGATGTCAAAAAGGGGGCTGGAAATGATGTAATACTTCAACTTGGATTATGTTTAATGTCAAATTTTGTCACTGGTTTGTCATACAAAAACAGCGCCTTTTATATCAGTGAGTTATTTTCATGCAATGGCCTATACAGATACCATGCCGATAATATCGTGCACCCCCATTTTAATGTATTCTTCAGCTATGTTGTGTGATCAGGAGACAGTGGCACAGACAAAAAGACAGGAGGAAGAACTGGAAGTGGCAGAAATGAAGATGTTGAGGTTCTTCTTAGGAGTGACAAGGATGGATAAGATTAGGAATGAGATCATCAGAGGTACATCACAGGTTGAACAACTGGGAGATAAAGTTAGAGAGACCAGACTGAGATGGTTTGGACATGTCCAGAGGAAGGACAGTGGGTATACTGGTAGAAGGACATTAGACATGCAGCTGCCAGGAAAAAGACAAAGAGGAGATATATGGATGCAGTTAGAGAGGACATGGAGGTAGTTGGAATGAGGACAGAAGGGACAGAAATAGAGGAGGGGGACTAGCTGTGGAGACCCCTGAAGAGGGAAATGAAGAAAGGAGAAGTTTCTGCCAGGCTTGTCTTGAATATTTTCTTTTACACTAAGACTTTTTACTTGGATAAATAAAATGATACATAGAAAACATTGTTCCAGCGTTTGATGGTTTTGGCTTTCTGTTGAGGATCTCAGTGCAGGCAGAAAATGTTCAGTTGCTGTCAAACCTCATCGTCATTGTTGTCTTTTAATGACTGGTTTGAGTCGTTTGTTTTTCAGGGTGGAATGACTACAACATACAACTTGAATGGTTTTTATATGCATGAACTGGGTGCACAAGTTTGAATTTAATGTGGATGTCCTCTCATGTCCCTGAAGGTTTGGCAATGTTTTAACTTGATAAAGCTTAGGCTTATTAACTTCTCATTAATGATAATAACTGCAGTCAGTAGGCCCGTCATGATAACAAATTTTACTGGGCGATTAATTGTCTCAGAAATTATTGCGATAAACGATAATATTTTTTGAAATTTGACAATAATTGGTAATTATTGTCAAGTTTAAGAAGAAATGTTTGTTAATTTGTATTGCATGCAGTACCTTTTTTGACCACCGGATGGCAGTATAAGACTGTTTGAACCGAAGGATGGATAGTGAGGGAGCGAGCAGCGTGTCTCTTTAAGAAAAAAGGGAGGGAGGCCCCTTGACGTGACATGGGCTGTCTCTCTTCAGTTCTCAAAAAATGGCGAATGCTCGGTGTGGTTTGAGCTCTTTAGCATAGCATTTTTCACACAAAGCTTTTAATAAAAAAAAAATCAGTAAACAAGTTCTCAACTTCTTTTTACAGAGAAAAACTACTTTTTACACAAAGGCATGGGTTTCAACTGTGAATTTTATAGCTTTGACAAGACGGAGGGTTTTTTTCTAAGGTCGGCCTGTTAGCTTAGCTCGTAGCTTAGCTTCTCAGCTTAGCTGCTTTTAACGATCCAAAAACGTGATTTTGGACGGTTAAAACAGATTTTAAAGAGAAAGGGAGGGGTCAGTGAAGAGCACCGGAATTGAGCCTTTTATCATCCAGTGTCTTCAGTAGAAAGAGAGAGACATGAAGAAACGATAAAGCCGATAAATGAAAATAAGGTTGATAATTTTAATTTATCATGTGATTAATTGATTTATTGTTTATCGTGACAGGCCTAGCAGTCAGTAGATTCTCTTTGTCTGCATAAAAACTATTTGTTTAAGAGTACTGGACTGACAAATTCTCATTTGTATTAGATGAAAGGAAATTGGTTAAGATGTTCAAAAACAGCCCAGGAGCCATCGAAGCTCAAGCCTGCCATGAATAGAAACTGATGGGACACCAGCATCTCTGTCCACATCCAGATTTACAACATCGTGAATGGAGCAGGTATCGACCACGAAGACCCTGCTCCAAAAGTGACAACTTCAAGCTCGAATGAGATTTGTAGCTGTCCACGTGGACAAACCAAAAACCTCCTGGAGCCAAGTTTAATGATCAGATGAGACAAAGGTTGAGCTTTTAGGCCACCAGACGTCTGTTTAAAGGACAAACTGCCAAGCTTGGTGGTGGTAGCATCATGCTGTGGTGCTGTATAAATTCTTTAACTTCACCTCAGATATAAAGCTAGATAGTTGAAACAATGGGGCAGCATTGAGAATCTTTTAATTTACACTAAGAAGTGCAGAGTTGTGGGTTTAAGCTTGATACGCAACAACATAACAAGCACAACATCTTCAAAATCAAACTATACAGCCTCTCGTTTAAAATATATAATTATGCCTTGGATGAGTGAAACTATACCAACAGATAGAAATAAAGTTTCTATATTAAGTTAAAAATTGTGATTGTGAATGACATTCTGTGCACAACTGCTCGTTTGTAGTTTTATTTTTTGACGTACAGTACAGTATTCTTGTAGATACAGGATTTTATGCGTGTTCGTTAGAGATGAATAGTATCCTATAGTAAACTCCTCCATTGTTCAAAAATAACTAACAGAGCTCTCCAGAATAATAAACATCCAGATTTGATTCATGACTTACTTTTGAAAACCAGCCATCTCAGTCACCATCCTGTCCAGCTCCTCCACCTGGAATCAGAAAACAAGAAACGGCACTTTAGTGTGTGCAAATTTCACACCAATCTCAAAACTTCCCTTTCTTTACAAAGTCTTGGAGAAAATAGTTTTTTATTCAATTAAATGGCTTTTAGAGAATGAAAGTTTTGAAGACTTTACATTGACAACACTGAAACTGCTTTGGTAAAGGGTTTGTAATGATGAATGATCCAGAAAACGACTGGTGATCTTTTGTGATCCTGGTACTCTTAGACCTTACTGCAGCTTTTGATTCTGTTGACCACAGTACTCTTTTATCACAGTTAGACACTGGGTTGGGATTACAGAAGCAGCATTATCGGTTCTGTTCTCACCCAAGTGACAGAAGCTTTTAAGTTAATGTTGGTAATTTTTCATCCACTTCAGCACCTCTTTCCTGTGGGGTTCCGCAGGGCTCGATTCTTGGACCACTCCTGTTTTCACTATATCTGCTCTCTTTGGGGTCTATTCTGAGGAAACGTGGTCTTTATTTTCATTATTACGCTGAAGATTGTCAGATTTATCTATCCTTAAAATTAAATAATTATTATTGCTTTCACCCTCTGTTAAAAAGTCTTAACATCAAGGCTTAGATGGCTTCAAATTTTTCAAGTTTTAATATTCTGTTTAATGCTCTGAGATGACTTCTGTTCTGATTTGACGCTATATAAATAAATTTAATTTAATTTAATCAGAAAACTTAATATAGTGTTCAGCCCTAGCTCTACTGCTGCCTCTCTTCCTGCTAACCTTGGCTCTCTCGAGCCATATCTTAAGCAGTTTGTTAGACTCTGGTTTTACATTTAATAAGTAGATTTAGCAGAAAAGCTTCTTCCAGTTTGGGCAGACAACTAAAGGTAATTCCGTGTTGACCAGACCTGACCTAAGGAAAATGGTCCATGCCTTCATTACAGCCCGACTTGACTACTGTCATACACTTTATGTTGGGGTTAGTCAGGTCTTCCTTTCTCAACTCTAGCTTGTCCAAAATTCTGGGGCTCAGCTCTTAAGGAACTCGTAGGTTTGAACACATTTCACCTGTCTTGTTCTTACATCACTGGCTCCCCGTGGGTCACAGAATAGATTTTAGAATTCTCCTGTTGACTTATACACGTCTAAATGGTATTACACCCTCGTATCTCACTGACCTAATTCAACCACATGTTCCTTCTCGGGTGATGAGATCGTCTGATCAGCTGCTTTTGGTTGTACCTAAAACCAGGTTGAAGCTCAGAGGAGGCATGGCTTTTTCAGCCGTGGCTCCTAAACTTTGGAACAATCTGACCCCCAACATGAGACTGGCTTCTTCCCTTCCCGTTTTTAAATCTCGTTTTAAAACTGTTCATCGTTCTCACTAACATTTAACACCGTGCGAGTTATTTTACTATGTGATTTATAAATTGCCTTGACCTGACTTTAAACATTTTCAATTATCTACAATCACGTGCTGGTTTACAAAGTCACGTTTTTATTTTCTACCTTGTCGTGTTCCCCCTGAAAGAGCTGCAGGAAGCTGGCCTGGGTGCCAGTGGTCCCTTTGACCCCTCGGAAACGAAGGTCGTCGCGAGCTCGCTGCAGGTTCCGCATGTCCATCGCCAAGTCCTGCAGCCAGAGGCACGCTCGCTTCCCTACGGTGGTCAGCTGGGCCGGTCTGTGAAGAGAACAGCTCGTTATTAAAATGTTCACCACAAACAAAGCGTTCAAACCAGAGGAGTGAAGCTGTGCACGGACTTACTGATAGTGCGTGAAGCCAAGTGTAGGAAGGTCTGCGTACTTCTCTGCAAAGTTTGCCAGCCTGTCAATGACTCGAGCCAGCTGTAGAAAAAGATGGATTTTAACTTGGATTTATGGCATAATAGTGTTAAACCTCACATTTATTAGTTGGCTTTATTTCATTTGAATATACATCATGGAAACAGTTGTAATAAAAGGCTTAGCAATCCTTGAGGGAATGGATATCTAAACTAAAACCATCTTTCAAAAAGATGATCATTTCATTGCAGTCTCATGCTCAGTGTGCTGCGGTTGACTTTAAGCTACAAGCACGCCAAGCTTTAGGTCAAGATCAGCAAAAATAACTGAATGATAATCATTTTTGTGTTTTCAAAAGTCAGCTGACTGTGGTGGACTTCTTGCACAGGGTTGGCTCCAAACATTAATCAGTCATAGAAGAACATCTATTGGTTACTTTCTGTGAGTTTTATTAAAATTTGTGTTGTGGTTCATGAGATATTTTGCTAACAGACAAACAGTTGACATATTTAATAGCAAAAATTTTAAATTAAAGATTTTGCATGATCTGTTTGTGCTCAGAATACATGTTGAGCATCAGTCTCAGCTTCTACCACACCAAGTTTTAAGGTAAATATCCGTACAACTAAACTATTTATAGTCATTTTTGTGTTTAAGGTCCGATTCTGATTCCTCCAGAGATTTGCGAGATATTTTGCCAACAGACACACACATATATACAAGGAAAATAATTATTGCCTGCCTTTCACTCTTCTGTGTGGGTTAATGAGTGCAGTCATTTCTACAGTGCTGACTTGCTCTGAAGCAGCTGAAGCCCAGTTAGTGGACAGGTGGACAGGTGGGCGTGTCCCCTGGCTAACGGCCGAGCCTCACCTTAGGCAAAAGGATGTCAAAACCATCACGCAGCATGATGAGATCCTGCGGAAGAAATACAAAAAAACATTTAAAGTCAAACCAACACAGCGTATATAACGGAGTGAACGTGTGTATTTACAGTGTTGTCTCCAACGTAGCATGAGGTGGCTCCCAGGTGAATGATGGGAGCGGCTGTGGGGCAGCAGTGGGCGAAGGTGTGCACGTGAGCCATGACGTCGTGTCGGAGTTTGCGCTCTTCTTCGGCTGCCATGGCGAAGTCGATGTCCTCGGCATGGCTCTCCATCTCCTGGATCTGAGCGTCGGTGATGGGCAGGCCCAAAGCCTGAAGAACACAACAATCAGGACGCAGAGAAATCCAATGAACCATCACAGTAAAGTTGATGTTTTTATTTGATCAAAACGTAAAAATGTAAATAGTAATCAAAACAAGAGGCAGTTTTAGAGATTTCCAAGGCTGTGAGACTGTAAAAATTATTTATGAAGCTGAATATATTAATTTTCTAATGATCGTTTTGACCTTTTGACATGAAGTAAACTCCGTTAGCAAAGTATCTCATGAACCACTAGACAGATTTCAATTAAATATGAAGGAATTAACTTTTATATGTACATGTACAACCAATTAAGGGACAACCATATTTAAGATGGCCGCCACAACCAACTGACATTAAACACAAAAATGGTTATAATTAAACTTTACAGATCCTGAGCTAAACTTTGGTGTGAGTGTAGCTAGACCTGTCGCAATAAACAATAACTCAATTAATCACATGATAAATGAAAATTATCAACCTCATTTTCATTTATCGGCTTTTCTTCATGTCTCTCTTTCTACTGAAGACACTGGATGATAAAAAGATCAACTCCAGTGCTCTTCACTGACTCCTCCCTTTCTCTTTAAAATCCATTTTAAACATCCAAAATCACATTTTTGGATTATTAAAAGCAGCTAAGCTGAGAAGCTAAAAAAAACCTCTGTCTTGTCGAAGCTCCAAAATTCATGTTTGAAACTATGAATGTGCGATATAAACGGTACACGGTAGAAACGATAGACATTTAGCTTACAATAGAGATCTGTCTTCTACCAGCTAACCGCAGTAATGCTGTGTCTGATGTAAAATCAGAGTTGTCAGTTTAATCTTTACTTTTTTAGGTGAAAACTGCGTAAGTGGTGTTCAAGTATTTTCTTCGAGAGCTAAGTAGCGAAGCTACAAGCTAACTATGGCCGGCTTGCCGTGGTGTTGCTGTATTTGGACACATGCGCAAAACGTGTTCCGTCTAAAGATTTTGGGGGTTTTTTCCGTCGAAAGTTAAAGTAAGCGTTGGTCAGCTTTAGAGAAACCTGCTCTCTGATCTGTGAAAAGAACGCTGTGTTGTGTGATTTTACTGTGAGACCCTCTGGTCAAAGCCACAGACTCATTTTGTGTCAACTCTCCTTAAAGCGGAAGGAGGCGCCCACTAGAGGGTTGGAGGGTGAAGTGTTTCAGTGTAAAATGCTGCTCTGTTGCTGTTCATTTATTAAGTGAGAAGACTGGAAACTGTTAAGAGTTAACAACATATACTTTTGTTTAAAATATAGGGCTAAAACTACATTTGATATATTTTGCACTGTTTTGCACTACAAGAAAGAAGCCTAATACTTGATTTGTTTTTTATTTAAAAACTCTGGACCTAGTAGAGGAATTTTCTTAATTGAGATTATTTTGTGGTATAGCAGTTTTCAAAATAAATGATGGCAAAATAACACCCAATGCTTTTTTTTCATTACTATTGCAAGTTTTATGCCAAAAACATATCGCGATATATATTGTTATCGCCACCCTTCACAATACATATCGTGATATGAATTTTATGCTATATCGCACATCCCCAGTTGAAACCTGTGCCTTTGTGTAAAAAGTTTTTCTTTGCAAAAAGAAGCTGAGAACTTGTTTACTGATTGTTTATTAAAAGCTTCGAGTGAAAAATGCTATGCTAAAGAGCTCAAACTACACCGAGCATCTGCCATTTTGAGAAGTGACGAGAGACAGCCCATGTCACGTCAAGGGGCCTCCCTCCCATTTTTCTTAAAGAGACATGCTGCTCGCTCCCTCACTATCCATCCTTCGGTTCAAACAATCTAATACCGTCATCTGGTTGTCAAAAAAAGGTACTACATGCAATACAAATTAACAAACATTTCTTCTTAAATTTGACAATAATTACTAATTATTGTCAAATTTCAAACAATATTATCGTTTATCGCAATAATTTCTGAGACAATTAATCGCCCAGTAAAATTTTTAGTTCGAGTCACAACTATTTGTCTATTAGCAAAATATCTCATAAATCACTGCATGGATTTTAATGAAATTCTCAGAAAGTACTCATTAGATGTTCATCTACAAATGATAAATTTATTGGAGTCAGTCCTGTTCAAGATGGCTACCAAAGTTACACAAAGTTGGCTTTAGCTCATCGATGTTTACAGATTTAAGTCTACAGTTTGATGAGGTAGTTGCTGAGTCATTCACACTCTAACTGTTATTCAAAACTTTAAAAATCTCATGCACACTCAGAGTATGTGTTAGGTATGATTCTCACCCACTACCACAAACATTTAGCTTGATCTTTGAACTGATTGACTTATAGTGATTTTAGTGTGTGTTAGCTGAGGCGGCCATATTGATTTAGGTTGACTCCAGCTGTAGATGAACATCCAGTGATTATTTTCTGAGAAGATGGGTAAAATCTGTCCAGTGGTTCGTGAAATTTAGCAAAAAGACACGCACACAGAAACAGGCCGTTACATTTATATTATCATCTGCCCATCGGCGGCAGGCGATAAACTTTACGGCACAGTTGGAAGGTTAGGCTGGTGAAGGGGGGCGATGGGTAGGAAAACCAATAAGAAGCACATGTTCAATGAAGCACATGATGTGCAGCTGCTGATGCAGCTGGTCGAGTAACATCGGCTAACTGAGGCCTTCATTAGAGGTCGCAGAGAAGGGGAACAATTGACAGACCCAATCTCCCACATTTCAACCCACATGACAAGTTCCACACACTCTGTGTGTTGCTACAGTCTCCCTTTACAGAGTACCATACCACTTGGGCGGCTGTGGCTGAATGGTTAGAGCAGTCGTCCTCCAATGCGAGAGTTGGGGGGTTTGAATCCACCAGCAGTCACATGCTGAAGTGTCCCTGGGCAAAACACTGAACCCCTCATAGCCTCTGATGTGTGTCCCATCAGTGTTTGAATGTGAGTTAAAGCTCTGATTAGTCTCATTAGAATGATTTGTTCAATTAGCTTTGGAGAGATCTAGTAGAGTGCTGTATGAATGGGTAAATGAGGACACAGATTGTAGTGTAAAGCACCATGAGTATCTTGAAATAAGATAGAAAGGCGCTATATAAGTACTGTCCATTTACCATTTACCATTTATTTATAAAGCACTTAACAACAGCAACAAGGCCAACCAAAGAGCTGTACAGCAAAACAAAACAAGCAACGGCCACAGGATAAAATACATAGATTCACAGAGGTAAAGCTAAGAACTAAATGACTAACATTATAGAATACAGACAAGTTAAAATCAACTCACATGGAGTCAAAAACCAGGGAACAAAACAGTGTTTTTAAACCAAACAATCAGTAAGCAAGGGAGTCTGCCTGACATGCAGTGGTAACTCATTCCACAGTTTTGGACCTGCAACAGAGAAGGCCCTGTCACCTCTGAGCTTAAAACGAGCGCATGGAACCAATAAAAGCATGTGGTCTGCTGACCTCAGAGAGCGCTGTGGGACATATGGCTGCAGCAGATCAGTGAGATAGTAGGTGGTAGAACTGTTCAGAGATTTAAAAACATACAGAAGGATTTTTAAATGCATTCAAAAGTGAACCAGGAGCCAGTGAAGGGAGGCCAGAACTGGTATAATGTGCTCTCCTTAGTCTGTACCAGTTAAAAGTCATGCAGTGGAGGTCTAACGGATTCCAAAAGGAAGTGCACTGCAGTAATCGAGGCTGGATGGAAGCATGTATTACTGTTAGGGGTGCACCCCGGACGATTTATCGGCCCAGATTTCCTTAATTTTGGGAAATCAGTCGATACTTGCATGAGAAACTGATTTTACAGATTTTTTTTAGTTTTAACTACAATTGTCTGAACTTCATTTATACTTCATTCAGAGCACTACCTCATAGCCAGTAAAACAAGTTTGTATTGGTTCTAGGATATTGTTCAAGGGTATGTTTTTCTATAAAATAATATTGGAAAATTGAAGTTGCATTGTGACCTTATAACACCTGACAATGTCGCTTATAAAACAAAATTGGAATCGGCAGGTCAGACTTTTTAGAAATCGGTGATCGTGATTGGCCAGAAAACTGCAATCAGTGCACCCCTAATTACTGTCTCAAGGTGGAGTATGTGACAATGCGTTGAACTGTTTAACATTATTAGTGTTTAGCGTATGTCTTAGATCTTTTAGCATGTTGTTTAGCATTTGTTTAGTGTACATCTTAGATCCTTATAGCTTCTTTTTATACATTATATTTTGGCTATTGTTGGGTGTAACTGGGACCTTGAGTACATAATTTCGTTCCACCTCGTGTACCACATGTGATGCGAATGACAATAAAGAAATTTGAACTTGAAATAGAAGAGAATGTCTCGGTAACATGAAACCCCCTCCACCCTTTCAACCATAGCTTGGAGCTCAATCTAACTTTTCCAAATGTAAAATTTTGATATTCAACCTTAAAAAAAAAAAAACCACTGCAGCCTCTCATGGTTTGTCAGACCAGAACTGATGGGTCCGATGTCTCATCCAAGTGACAATGTTGACAATGTTAGCGCGCACAGTTTGACTCATCTCCTCTCCTTGATTCTGTACTTATCGGATGTTTGCTGCTTCTGAAGAGGAGACATTCCAGTCTAATGAGGCGACTGAGTGAATGCTCACAGGGACAGCATGTGCATGTCGAGATTGTATAGAAGACGGACAGTATTGCCAAATGTTTAACTTCAGATAAGCCGAATGATGAAGCATTTGCAGTAGGAAGTTATTTCACTTATCTTATCCAAAGGCTGAGCAGTCCTTGAAGGAATGCATATTGCCCGTTACCTTATGCACCAGTTTAAGACAGTCTTATGTTGAGAAATTAGGGAGTTGTAACTGTTTTAGTTTAACCTTTAAAATCATCCATGATTGCAAGATATGTTGTGTTGTAAATTACTCTCATCGAATTTTAGCTCAACATCTGCAAAATTCACGAGTAATAGCTTTTTTGTGTTTACCCACGTCGATTAGGTGCAATAGCCATCTTGAATTAGTTTGACTCCAGAAGTTAATGGTTTGTAGCTGTACATTCATTCATTCGACCTTTATTTATACAGGTTAGTCTCATTGAGCCTCGAGGACTCATTTACAAAAGAGACCTGTTTCAGATAAGATACTTGTAGGACCTGTAACTGATTGATCAGAGGTAACATAATCTGTATTGTATGTGGAATTTTTATGAGGACTGATGTTTTATTGTGTTGTTATTTTAATATGTTATAATTTGTATGCAATATGTACCCAGCTTCCGTCTATAAGCTTTAAATAGCTTTTTGGAGACCTGATTCACGCACTGTTATTTTGCAGATATGTATTATGTTTCTTTCATGTGTGTGTGTGTGTGTGTGTGAATAAACTGAATAAACTAAACTAATAAGGTACAGACAACAACAGACAAACTACTGCTGCTAATGCTAATTTTACTGATGTCAATGATAATACTGCTAATGCTAGTTTTACCAATGTTAATGCTAATATTGCTAATGCTAATTCTATTACTGTTAATGCTAACACTGCTAATGCTAGTTCTATTATTGTTAATGCTAATACTGCTAAAGTTAGTTCTATTATTGTTAATGCTAATACTGC